TTTTTTTAGACAGTCTCAAGCTGTCACTCTTGGTAGAGTGCTATGGCGTCACAGCTCACAGCACCCTCAGACTCTTGGGCTTAAGCTATTCTCTTGCCTCAGCCTCCCAAGTAGCTGGGACTATAGGTGTCCACCACAGTGCCTGGCTGTTTTTTGGTTGTAGTTGTCATTGTTGTTTGATAAGCCCAGACTAGATTTGAACCTGCCATCTCTGGTGTATGTGGCTGGTGCCCTGGCCACTTGAGCTATAGGCACCAAGCCTAGAGTGTGTTGCCTTTTAAAAAACTATTTCTAGTTAAGTCTATGCATCATAACTCCTACCTATCTACTTCAGTCACATCCTTTTAAGTACCGTCTTCTTGACTGGTCTTGGGGAACAAAGAACATTTGTGGTATTACTTGACTCAGCTATTGCTGTCTTGGTAGTCTGAAGGAGGTAATCTATCAATCTCTCTTTCTCTCTCCAGGGTTGTGCTCTGTTGCCAGGGCTAGAGTACAGTGACATTACCATAATCTCTGCAACCTCAAGTGACCCATCTACCTCAGCCTCCTGAGTAGCTAGGACTACACACAGGCTACTATGCCTGGCTAATTTTTTTTTTTTTAATAAGAGATAGTCTCACTTTATCACCCACTGTAGGGTGCTATAGCATCACAGCTCACAGCAACCTCCAATTCCTGGGCTTAGGTGATTCTCTTGCCTCAGCCTCCTGATTAGCTGGGACTACCACCGCAACACCCAGCTATTTTTGTTGTTGTTGTTGTTGTTGCAGTTTGGCCAGGGCTGGGTTCAAACCTGCCACCCTTGGTATATGGGGCCGGTGCCCTACCCACTGAGCCACAGTCAACACCCTGCCTAGGTAATTTTTAAATTTTTCGCAAAGATGGGTTGGTCTTGAACTCTTGACCTCAAGCAGTCCTCCCACCTTGGCCTGCCAAACTGCTAGGATTATAGCCATGAGCTGCTTCACCTGGCCTCTCCTCTCTTGTTCCATCACATGCTATTCCTTTATTTCTCGAACCCTCTTCAGTGTATTTATTATAACAGATTATGTATCTTATATATGTAAAGACTTTCTATGTTCATAAACCTCTTTTTCATCTGTTTTCCTCCCATGAGCAGTAATTAAACTTGGATGCTTTTAAAAAGAATTTGCTGTGAATCTGTCCAGAATAATGGAAATAATTTTCATCTTTTCTGAGCCAATGCTTAGGATATACAAAATTAATTATAAAAAGCCAAACATTGTGTAGAGATTACACACCAGCATGGTCTATACCTTATGTGTCTAGTCACATGTGTCGGCAAGATTCTTTACTTTTTCTAGCAGTCCATGTCAGGCTCCTGCTTCCAAATCTTTACTTCTTTCTAGAATCTAACCAGATTTTTTCAGCTTGATGAAGAGCTATTCTTTCATTAGGTTTTTTGGTGATAAATATACTGTGTGATGATAGTGGCTGTTGATAAATTCCTGGGGGGCAGAGACTGTCCTTTGTTTTTATAATCCTAGTCTCAGTTTGGTGCCTGGCACAAGGTGCTAAGTCAGTGTTTTCAGGCAGAGATAATTGGTGCATCTTATTCTGAACTTTGTAGCAGACATATTGTGCAACAAATTATTGTGAAAATGTAACTTTGTTATATCAATTTGCCTTTCCCAAAACAAGAATCTTGCTTACATAAGAGAAAAGCTTTGTAACAACTGTATGGTTTCTCTACGGTCTTAAGTGAGCCTCCAGTTGGGAAATCTATGTGGTTTCAGCAATTTAAGTAGAACATTCTATCCTTTTATTCTTCTTGATATCAAACGGTGCTATCACATTTGTATCATAACTTTTTTTTTTTTTTTTGCAGTTTTTGGCCATGGCTGGGTTTGAACCCGCCACCTCTGGCATATGGGGCCAGCGCCCTACTCCTTTGAGTCATAGGCACTGCCATGTATCATAACTTTTTTAACAACTGTCACAGGGTTTGTTTTTTTTTTTAAACATACTAAACTGCCCCGCATCTATAAAAAAAGAAGTCATTTTTGTGTGTATGTTTCTATTTGGTTAGACAATTCATTTTTTATCATAAAGGGACCCCTTGAAAAAGTTGCACACATTCTTCTAACATATTTCTTTATAGATAGAGAAAATTATACATGTGTTTTTTAAAAAATCAATTTTGCAAAAAAGCTAAAAATTATTACAACTCCAATGGTTTACAAGGATATGGTTTAGCAATCAACTTAATATAATGATTGAAAAGGAATTATTGTTAATTCTGTTATCCAAAATTCCTCTTTGTGGGTGGCACCTGTGGCTCAAAGGAGTTAGGTGCCAGCCCCATAAACCAGAGGTAGTAGGTTCAAACCTGGCCCCTGTCAAAAAAAAAACCCAAAAAACTGCAAAATTCCTCTTTGTGTTGGAATCCTATAAAAATAACCAAAGATGATTGATTTTTCATTGGAATCCTAATGTCTATAAAATCAAACTAGGAAAATGTGAGTAATTGAGTGGCCAAAAATCCTTTTATTCATTTTCCTTTTCCTTGTTTTGTTTTAGAACTGCCATTGGATGACCAGGATTCCCTGTAGTTGATAATGTTGGAGATAAACTCTGCAACTTTCTTCAGCATTCAGTTGTTAAAAACAAATAGGATGCAAGTTCTTCAACCCCAGATTATGAAAACAGTACTTGGAAAACTCAAAACTATCTAAATGATTGTCTTTGGTTGGGCCGTGTTCTTAGCAAGCAGAAGCCTTGGCCAGGGTCTGCTATTGACTCTCGGGGAGCACATAGCCCACTTCCTGGGGACTAGAGGTGCCACTACTATCATGGGTAATTCGTGTATCTGCCGAGATGACAGTGGAGCAGAAGACAGTGTTGACACCCAGCAGCAACAGGCTGAGAACAGTGCACTACCCGCTGCTGACACAAGAAGCCAACCCCGGGACCCTGTTCGGCCACCAAGGAGGGGCCGAGGACCACATGAGCCAAGAAGAAAGAAACAAAATGTGGATGGGCTAGTGCTGGACACACTGGCAGTAATACGAACTCTTGTAGATAAGTAAGTATCTGAGTCACGGTCATCTCCAATGTGATGAAGTGTTCTGCTCGGAACCATGACTTTTGGACTCCTTCAGTTCATTTAGGACATACTCGCCAAGCCTTATATTCATAGAGCAAGGGAAAATATTATATTTCTCCTCTGATGGCAGAGTAATTATAAGGTTTGATGTTTTTACTTGCTATCATCTACTCATATCTGGAAGTGTCTAAACATTTCTGTAGCAGAAAACACTAATTAAAGCTGTGATCTTTATTAAGGAATAGAGTAAATATGGACTGTGTTTGTGTTGCTAGCTACAGTAGGAAGTGGTTCCATGAAGACTCACTGTTTTCCTACTTGCCTATTTCACTGACTAGAGATTCAAGATAAGTCGTTTTACCAAGAACATGGCTGCATGTGACTACTTGGTAATGTAAAGACAAAGGTCAAGGAGAATTTTTTATCTCCCTCCTTTTTGTATGTCCCTATCTGGCTCTCTCTGATGCATTTGGGAAGCATGTCAGTTTAAACTACAAGACACATCTGTACCTGCTTTGTGATTTCCCCTGCTTTGTCTGACTCTAAGTATAAAATCCAAGAATGAATAACAGGGGAATTAAAGGGCATTGTTCAAGATGAAAAACATTTAACTCAAGGTTGTATAGTTCAGTACTTATGAGCACAAATTTTAGAACCATGATGGACCCATGTTCAAATTCTGGCCCAGCCCTTTACTAGCTGCGTGACGGTGGGTAAGTTAGTTTGAACCTCAGACTCCTTCTGTAAGGGAGTACTTTAATACTTTTCTTATGAAGATTATCATGAAATATCTGTAAAACTTCTAACATAGATCTTTGTGCATAACAATTGCTCAATAGATGGTAGTATTTTTTAAAAGTTATTTCTGGGTTATTTTTGCTTTGGGCCCTGCTAGTAAATCTATGTATATAAATATTTGGTAGTCACATTTTAAAACCCCACTTTGGTTGAGTTCCTCAAAAATTATAGCACAGGGTATACCTCCACATACAAATTCTCAGAGCTATATTAAACTCTTCTGTGAAATACTGGAACATTTTTTGGTCTTAAGAGTAAATTTTTTTAAATCCCTCATACTGTAAAATTGGAATGAAAAGTTGTCCTTCACGAATAAGGAAGTTAAGTGCATACAATGTTAATTTAATCCCATTGGAAAAACAGGTGCAAAATAGACTTTGCTGTATTTTAAATGTGAGTGACTAAGGGAATATGAGAGCAAGGTAGGAGCTTTATTTCCAAGTTCTGGAAAATATTACAAATTAGAAGTGGCATTGTTGATAAATTCACTTATGAGAGGCAAGTGGTATTCATTTGAATAACAAGATAACTTTTACCTTAGACCTCTGTTTACTACATTGTAGGCATAACTCTTCTGAGAATGGAAAAATAAGGTTAAGATATGAATCAAATTTGGAAGGAACTTGTGGAGAAGATAATGGCAAAACAATTCAGTTTATAAACATGGATATAGAGCTTGTTTTTTAGAAGGAATTAGAGAAGAATTTTATAACCTATACAGTTTATAGGTCTATTAAAACCAACATGAATGATACATATAACAGGTGGACCTGGTAAACAGATATATGCAGATATCACAATTATAAAATGATCTGAATTTTTTTTTTTTTTTTTTTTTGCAGTTTTTGGCTGGGGCTGGGTTTAAACCCGCCACCTCCAGCATATGGAGCTGGTGCCCTCCTTTGAGTCACAGGCACCGCCCCATGATCTGAATTTATTATCTTTTTCTTTCTACTTGTTTAACTTAGGAAAGGATGACACTGATCTGAGAGGACAGCACTGTTCCTAAACTCCATGGTGAGAGAGTTGCTGTAGGAAAGGGTTTCATGGTGGTGGTTTCTACTTACAACTTTATTTTGTAATAAATTGCCAATTTGCAGCATGCTGCCTCTGTATCCAGCTTTTTTTCCTCTTCGTCTAAACAGAGGTTTTTTTCTTACTTTTTGTTGTCTAATTTTAATCCTACATACTTTCAGTCTAAAGCAGTGGTTCTCAACCTTCCTAATGCCACGACTCTTTAATATAGTTCCTGTGGGCTGCGACCTACAAGTTGAAAACCGCTGGTCTAAAGTAATATGCTTTAGTTCTGGATATTTCTCAGCCATTATTTCTTTGAATATTGCTTCTACTGTGATCTAAGTGAATTCCTCAATACTGACTTCCAGTTCATGAATTTTCTCTTTATCTATGGCACACCTTCAGTTATGCCATCTATAGAGATTTTTATTTCAGTAACTATTTCATTTCTAGGATTTTTTTCTTTTTTTGGAGACAGAGTCTCACTTTATCACCCTCAGTAGAGTGCTGTGGCATCACAGCTCACAGCAACCTCCAGCTCTTGGGGTTAGGCGATTCTCTTGCCTAAGCCTCCCGAGTAGCTGGGACCACAGGCACCTGCCACAATGCCTGGCTATTTTTTTGTTACAGTTTGGCCAGGGCCAGGTTTGAACCTGCCACCCTCAGTATATGGGGCCCGTGCGCTACTTACGGAGCCACAGGCACCACCTATTTCTAGGATTTTTCATTTTTCTTTTTGTCTTGATTCATATCTTTTTTCATTTTTTTAAAATTTCCTATAATTTCTTATAGTTCCTTTAATTACACTTATTAAAAAATCATCTTGAAGTTCTATTTTTTGCATATTTTTGGCAGTGACTTTATCCTCAGAGTGACATTGTTAATGGTATTAATGTTAATTATTCTCATGTGCTTTGGGATTTAATTTGCAGGCTCCTCCTGATGGAAGTTTTGTCTCCACTTATATGCGTATGTTCTTCCCTCCACCCCATCCCTTTCTCCCTCGTTGTTTTGTCTGTTTCCAGGGATCCTCTTTTTGTGACTACACTTAAAATTGGAACTGATGATTCTGAGTTCCCTTCCCACTATAAGACACCCCATACTTGCTGCATAACTTTCTTTTCCTTTTTCTCACTGAAGACTTGGAGCTTTATACCAGTTGTAGCTCAGATTGTCATTCCTAACTTTATTTAGCTCCTTTCATTGGGAGAACAACTATGGCCCAGGTGCATTTAGAGAATCTGCTCCATCCTTTGCACAGATGAAGTTTTGGTCCCCATTACCCTATAAGCCTGGAACTCCTAGTCACCTCTGTCCAGTTCCTGACCCACAGCCCACTAGTTCCTTGGCTTTAGCTGCTACCTCCCACCAGAAACTTCTTCATTTCTGTTCCACAAAGGAGTTTATCTTGTTCTTTATTGTAGGTATGTGTGTATCCATTAATTACCTTGAATATAGATTCTAGATGCTCTAACTCCTTACTGGTTGCTGACTCTTTGCTCTATTTTATTATTTTTCTTTGATTCTTTAATCCCTGTCTCCACCACCCACCTCCAAACGTCAGTAGGTAATCATTCTAGTGAATTTAGGGCAGGTTCTTCCAAGTTACCAGCTATATGGGGAGAATATTTATATAGAGAGTTTTGTGTATGATTTTAAAACTTTACTGATTTAGTTCAAACTTGTTTGTCTTTAATTTCTCTCCACATTGTTTGAGACCTGTGTTGCTGCTATAAGTCTGCAACTGCTTCTGGTTGCTACAGAGCATTCCTCTGTATAGCTTGATGTATTTTGTTAGTTTTCATGTGGTGATGGTCACTTAAATTACTACCCCATTTTTGTCCTGCGAATAATGCTGCTGTGAACAGCACAAATATGCTTCAATTTATGGACTTCTATAAAAGTTTCTCTAGAATTGTTGGTTTTGTGCACACTTAATTTTATTATTAATTTTTTTATTGTCAGATCATTCTTCAGAAATGTTTGTATTAGTTGTATTATTTTTTAAAAACTTTAATAAGTTTCCCTTATCATGAAAGGCCACTGGATATATCAGACAGCAAGCACCTGATGAGTATCTGAAATGAACATAGTATTTTCTATATCATCAAAGTTATTCCAAGGGTTAAATGACTTAAGGTAATAGTTTTTATGAGGTTTTTATCACAATAAAACAAAGACCCACAATACATAAACACATTTTGAGTTCTTAAGCATTTAAAATGATCATTATTTCAATAACGTGTTGATCAAATATTTTATTATTGAACTTCCCTGAAGCACTTCCTTAGGATTTCCAGGATCACAGTTTGAAAACTCATTGAATTAAGGTATATAATGCCACTTTAGAGCAAGGTCTAGAATTTATACAGATCCTTAATTAATTTTGGTTTTGTTTCATTTTAATACCATTTTATGAACTGTAGGCATGTAGTTGATACTTCCCTGAAGAAAACTTTAAAATAAAGATGTTTATATAGGCCCTTGCTTCCATAAATCATCAGTTGAGATTGTTGTCTCCCTTCCTGGTATTTCTTTGAAATCTAAGGAAGATGATGTTGACCTTCTTGGCCTGTCTCAGGTGGCTTTGGACCTTTGGAAGTAAAATTTAGAACAGACTCTGGTCTCCCGTTTTAGTCCTGTGTTTTTACCTCGGCCACGTAGTGGTCATTGCTTGTACCTTTCTGCTGCCCATTGTGTTTGTGGGTCATTATTAACAGTGACCATGGACGTGAGCACACGGGGTATATGTATTGGTCTTTACAGGTTGTATCTCGGCTTGCCTCTTCATCCCTTTCCTTATACTCATTTATCTTCCTTTTTTCTTTCTCTTTGTACTCCCATACTTCCAGTAATTTTTATTTGGAATTGTCATTTATTATTTTCTCAAGTTTAACATCTTAAATGTTTTTTTTCAGTGATCAGGAACCTCCCTATTCAATGATTACATTACACGAAATGGCAGAAACAGGTATTTTTAAAACTGTTTTTAATACTTTCTAATGAATCGATAGTAATAATAAAAAATGTGACCACCTTTTTTTGTTGTTCTTAAGATAAAAGATTCCAATAATAGCACACAAAACAAAGAAAATACCCTTAGTGTATGAAGATTTCCCTGGAGAAGTATAATAGGCAATGTATATTGTATCTTGAATATATATAGCTGCACTTCTGACTAATGGTTTTATCTTACATGAAATTAGGAAAAGAAAATATTTTTGGTATTGACAGATCTTTGGCCATACTATTCTAGAATGGGGAGAATAATTTTTTTGTTCCTTAGTTTCCTAAGTATTATTCTGAAAATAGAGCCAACTGCTGAGTATACTTAGTTTTCTCAGGTAACTCCTATTAGTAAGTAAGATGCTTAAAACTATTTTAATCATAATTTGAGAACCCAAGATCATAGCTTAAATTTTTTCTAATAAATGTGCCCCCCAAATCACCAGACTTCCTTAGGATTTTTTCACTCTACCATATTGACTAGCAACTGATGATTATGTCCATGCCAAATATTAACTGCTTAAAAGCTGCAGAATGCCTGCTAGGTTTACATAGCTAACACCTGTAATCCCAGCAGTTTGAGAATCCAAGGAGGACCACTTCAAGCTAGGAATTCAAGACCAGCTTGGGCAATGTAGTGAGATCCCCATCTCTACACAAAATAAAAATTAACTGAGAGTATATTGGTCCCAGCTACCTTGAGAGGCCGAGGCAGGAGCATCGCTTGAGCTCAGAAGTTTAAGGTTTCAGTGAGCTGTGATCACACCACTGTACTGTAGCCTGGGCAAGAGAGAAAGACCCTATTTCTAAATAAATAAAAGCTACAGAATGAAGAACAAAAGTATTTATTTTAAAATGAAGTCATTTTGTATGACTTTATAAGTTATATATTTCCACATTTTTAAAACAGTGACTCCATCATGTGATCTTCTTCATTTGCTCTTAGATGAAGGATGGTTGGATGTTGTCCAGTCTTTAATTAGAGTTATTCCATTGGAAGATCCATTGGGACCAGCTGTTATAACCTTGTTACTAGATGAATGTCCATTGCCCACTAAAGTAAGTTACTATTTATCTTTTATGAAACTCATCTGCTTAAGCACAGGATAAATGGCCACAATGAACATTTGATATAATGCATTTCTTCCTTGTATGTTTGGGGTCTGTTTTATTCAGTTTTGATTTCATTATGTAAATTTGTATTTTATTGCTAATGAACTGTTATATTCTTTATTAATAAACTTACTATGAGGGCTCGGTGCCTGTGGCTCAAGCGGCTAGGGCGCCAGCCACATACACCTAAGGTGGCGGGTTCAAATCCAGCCTGGGCCCGTCAAACAACAATAATGGCTGCAACCAAAAAATAGCCAGGCGTTGTGGCGGGCACCTGTGGTCCCAGCTACTTGGGAGGCTGAGGCAGGAGACTCACTTGAGCCTAGGAGTTGGAGGTTGCTGTGAGCAGTGAAGCCATGGCACTCTACCCAGGGGCTCAGCTTGAGGCTCTGTCTCAAAAAAATAAAAATAAAAAAATTACTTACTATGAGGCTTTAATTAAAATTTTTTAATGTTAAAAATAGAAGCATTTATATCTGAAGTGGCAGTCTTTGCTGATTTTCTTTCTCAAAGTAATTTTCTCGTAACTAACATTTTTAGAATGTTTTCTATTCCTATTAAGAGGAAAAATCGAAAGTACTTTTGGTTCTTAAACATATTGAAGATCAGTATGACCGTGATTATCCCTTACATGGAACATAGGTATCAAACTTCCATTGCCTTAGTCCAGAGTCCTTTTTTTGTTTGTTTGTTTGTTTCAAGACAGAGCCTTAAGCTGTCACCCTGGGTAGAGTGCGGTGGCATCACAGCTCACAGCAAACTCCAACTCCTGGGCTCAAGTGATTCTCTTGCCTTCACCTCCCAAGTAGCTGGGACCATAGGCACCGCCACAACACCTGGCTATTTTTTGGTTGCAGTCGTCATTGTTGTTTGGCATCCTGGACTGGATTTAAACCCGCCAACTCAGTTCAGGTATATGTGGCTGGCGCCTTAGCTGCTTGAGCCACAGGCAATAAGACAGAATCCTTTTTTTTTTTAAATATGGATCTGACATCTTTTTTTTTTTTTTTTGAGACAGGAGCCTCCAGCTGTCCCCCTGGGTAGAGTCATGTGGCATCATAGCTCACAGCAACTTCCAACTCCTGGGCTCAAGCGAGTCTCCTGCCTCAGCCTCCCAAGTAGCTGGGACCACAGGCGCCTACCACAACATCGGGCTATTTTTTGCTTGCATCCAGCTGTCATTGTTGTTTGGCGAACCTAGACTGGATTTGGACCTGCTTACCTTAGGTGTACGTGGCTGGCGCCTTAGCCACTTGAGCCACAGGCGCCAAGCCTCTGACATTTTTCATTTGAGTGTTTTAAGCCTCAGATATTTGGGCCCAGTACAGAAAAACATTGTGGACAGAAAAGAAAACTTAGTCACAAATGAATTGACCTTTGCCTAAGTTTATATAAGAACTGTTTTACTTTGCCTCGAAAACTGTTAGGATTTGTCATTGCTTTGTAAAACGTACTAAAAAGTAATGTTTTGCTTCAAGGTCACTAATCCCTAATGTTATCAATCATATGGCATTAGAGTGGGGTTTAATCAGTTCAGTGATTCATGAATATTATATACAGAGGAGCCCAAAAATGTTATATACATTTTCAAACAGAAACTATTATTAAAATTATAATAATATATACCTATAACATTTGTAATCTTGTACATTCTATCTTATATCTCTGTAATTGCAGAAGTCAAATGTGACTTGAGTATTACAATTTTATTTTATTTATTTCATTTTTTTTTGAGACAGAGCCTCAAGCTGTCACCCTGGGTAGAGTGCCATGGCATCACAGCTCACAGCAACCTCCAATTCCTGAGCTCAATTGAGTCTCCTACTTCCACCTCCCAAGTAGCTGGGATTACGGGTGCCTGTCACAACACCTGGCTACTTTTTGGTTGCAGCCATCATTGTTTGACAGCCCAGGCTAGATTAGAACCTGCCAGCTCAGGTGTACGTGGCTGTCGCCTTACCTGCTTGAGCCACAGGCGCCGAGCTGAGTATTACAATTTTAAAACAGATTTTTCCATTCTGAAAATACGTATACATTTTTGGCACCATCTGTATTTGATACAACTAGTATATTTTGAATAAAATGGAATTTAGTCATTCAGAGAAAACTTTCAGATTGATCAAATAATACTTTTCATGAAAAATGGTATCATGGCTCGGCACCTGTGGCTCAAGTGGCTAAGGCACTAGCCACATACACCTGAGCTGGTGGGTTCGAATCCAGCCCAGGCCACCAAACAATGACAGCTGCGACCAAAAAATAGCTGGTGGTTGTGGCAGGTGCCTGTAGTCCCAGCTACTTGGGAGGCTGAGGCAGGAGAATCACTTGAGCCCAGGAGTTGGAGGTTACTGTGAGCTGTGATGC